CTGGGAAGCCTTAATAAGCATGCTGTGGGGGATGGGATGAAAAAGCAGGTTACAGAATGTTCTCTGTATACATATGCATGTTAGGAGTGTGGGGGAAGTTGACCCTGGTCCTGTCTTGGGGGTGAGATTCAGAGAGAGGCAGTATCTTTCACATTCTCCTTTGTACACATGTATATTTTGGGGTTTGCAATGTATATATACTACCTTTATTAAAATAGAAACAAAGATCTTTGCTGTTTCAGGAAAAACAACAACACCACCAATAACAAAACAAACAGAAAATAATGCCCAGGTCAGACTTTTCCAGTAGTGCTTCCTAAATTTCCCAGCTTGTCAGAACTGTTCTCGAATCATCACAGCCTTACACATGGTCAAGGGATGTGGGAGCTCACGATTCCTGTTTGCTGCCTTGAATCATTTCAGAGGGGATTTTCACAGCAGGAGAACATTTAGATAGGCAGATAGCCCTGGGTAAATGAACAGTGTTTGCTGTCAGTACTTGTCTACTTCCTCTCTTTGTATCTAAACGTAGTTGTTTACTACTTGTCTTCTTCAAAAGGTACGGTTTCCGGAAGCCACCATATGTAGAGCTGAAAGCTCGGCCAAAACTTGGAGAGAGAGAAGTGACTTTAGTTCATGTGACAGACTGGATAGAGAAGAAACTGGAACAAGAGTTTCAGGTAAACATGTGGTGTCACCTGGTGTGCGTTTCACCAGAGTCTCAAAGCTCAGAGCAGAACAGAGGTTCTGAGGTCCATCCAGGTCAGGATCTGCTTTTGAGAATCTTTTATTTTTTATTTTTTTTTAATTTGACAGACAGAGATCACAAGTAGGCAGAGAGGCAGAGAGAGAGAGAGGAGGAAGCAGGCTCCCTGCCGAGCAGAGAGCCCGATGCGGGGCTCGATTCCAGGACCCTGGGACCATGACCCGAGCCGAAGGCAGAGGCTTTAACCCACTGAGCCACCCAGGTGCCCCTGCTTTTGAGAATCTAATGAAAGCTATGGGTTCTCATCCCAGGAAAGTACCCGTCATGATCAAACGGGCATACCACATCAGGTACAGTCTCAGAAACCCCGAGCCCTAGCCACAGAACCCCGTTAAGTTGTTCAGAGGAAGCCCCAAAGGTGGGTTCGCTAAGCCAGAGCTCATTCTCCAAGCCTGGTTTCCGCTTTCTGCCACCCAAGCAAATAGTGGTGTAGCCAAGGCCCTGGGATCAACTATCAGGAATTCGAGGCACGGTTGTCTTTTAAGGGGTCATGAATTGGCAAACAATTTACTTTGTAAATGAGTTTCACCTTCTGAAGGAGACCCCTAATTTTGCAGGGGTATATCTTGAGATCTTGCCTTTAAAAACTTATATTCATATTTAAAAGGTATGGACGAATGTTAACCGAAAACCAGTTTCTGGAAAGCTTAGCAATATCACCAAGTGGAAAAGTACTTTGAACCTAGTGAGGGGAAAGACAACCTTTAGTTTTTTTCCTTTTCCCTAGATCCTACAATAGGCATTAGAGTGGGTCATCTCTTTCAGGGATATTGGGGTACAAGGAGCACAAAGGACAAGGGGTGGAGGTTGGCACCTGGGTGTTGTGGGTTTTTTTTTTTTTTTTAGTTTTATTTATTTTAGAGAGAGAGAGTGTGAGGAGGTGCAAAGGGAGAGGGAGAGAATCTCAACCAGACTCCCTCCAGAGTGCAAAGCCCATTGCAAAGCCCAGCTCGAGGCTCTATCTCATGACTGTGAGATCATGACCTCAGTTGAAATCAAGAGTCAGACCCTCAATTGACTGAGCCACCCAGGCACCCTGGCATCTGGTATTTTTGAGGCAAGGTGGGAAGTTGATGGGTAATTGCTACAACCTACCATAGCCATCTTTTTTTTGCTTTGTGTATGCTTTTGTAAGAGGGGTGTTACTGGAGACGGAACGTATTGCCAAAATTCACTTGCGTAAAATTAGTTTATAAACAGGGTAGGCAAAGCACCATTACTATCAATCACTGCTTGTTTTTCTTATGTTCATTATAAAGTAGGATTTCTTTCATTTATAGCTTTGTCTGGTTCTGGGTGAAAAAAATGAGCTTACATTTTGTTACTAAGATTTAAATGAATAAATTCACTTGGGATTTGTGTTCTGGACATAGCAATTTGGAAATACTAGAAGTCCCTGAAGCCGATTCTCTTAAAGTAATGGTGTTGATTATTTATGAATTCGTGAGTAATTTTATCGTATGTACATGAAATCAAAGGCTGCTTCTGCCCCAGAGCTGAGTTCTTGAGTTCATGTGCTGATGTGATTTGACTCTTCAAATGTGGCAGAGAAACTAGTTTAGAATGTGCACGAAAAGTTGTTTCATGTGTACTTCTAAAACTTCTCCAAATCCTAAAATGATCAGAACAGACTAGGGTAACACCCTGAGAAAAGCAAGCATTCTTCCACGTGGCTGTTTCTTTCTACAGAAAGTTTTTGTCATGCCAAACATGGATGATGTCTATATCCCTATAATGCACTCGGCCATGGACCCTCGCTCTGCTTCCTGCCTCCTCAAGGACCCACTTGTGGAGGCTGCTGATCAGCTGTAATGGGTGAAGATCTGACCTTCCCAGTATTAGGAGACCTAGCTCAAGGTGTGGGGTTCTTGGCTGCCATCCGTGCTGTAGCACTGGCCTCTCCTCGTGCCACAGCTTCTGCCCTCTGCCTGCTGGTGCCCATTCCATTGCGAGGTATCATTCCACGCGTCTGGGAACTGGTGTCCGGGTTGCCGGCAAAGCTTAGACTCAGCCAAGGGGACTGTGGGACAATCACCACAGTGGACCCAGAGGCTACAGATGACTCACTCCATGGCTTTTTTGAGTCTACCAGTTTTTGTGGCAGCCAGAGCACAGTGAAAGCAAAGCTGTACAACTGGAAGGCTTTCCCTTTGCCTCATCTCCAAAGCTTTTCTTCAGGCGGCCGGTGCACAATGGAACATTTTCTCACTTCTGCATCTTGTGGGTGATGTAGCCCTCCACGCTCCCAGAGAATGTCAATTCAGGAACATGTGGAGGGTGGGGAGTGGAATTTTGTGAACCATTTCATTGATGATAAAGAGATACGCATAGCAACTTAACTTTTTTTCATATTGTGCATTTTGGAAGCAAGTAGCCATAGAACACATACACACTAACATACGATTGACAGGGATGGGGACAGTGGGATTTATGTGAACATTAGGCAAAGCCATGAGATCAAACCATCCCAAGCCTTCTACCAATGAGATACAATCACCTGGTTTTAACTAATCCCAAATGTCTTCCTGAGACATGAGCATATGTGAAAATGTCAAATACTGCACATAATGAGTGGATTGGGGTCGGGGTAGAGCCAGATCCACATCTTTCCATCAGGCACCTCCTATGTGCTCTGTGCTTTATATAGGCATCTACATGCTTTGTTAATCTAACTGGTTTAGGGTATTTTGAGGTTGTGGGCAGTTTCCTCTTCTGACAGCCAAAACAAACTGTCACCTTTGAGAGTCAAGACCAAGTTTGCTCAACATTAAACACTACATTATCTAAAAATCCATGTGACCTTTCTTTAATGTTGCCAACCTTATTTGGTGCATTTGTGTCAGAATCTTTAGTTTACAAGTTTGGGGGCTCCCTAGTTGTATAATTTGCTTTGAGAAGTACTCTTAAAACACAACTTTTTATTGTTTAAAAAGCTGCATTCAACATCAAAACTGCTGTGGGTAATTTTGATAACTTACATCTGTGGACAAAGCTAATAGTGGTTTTTTAAACAGCACCTTGCCTGAACATGACTTTAAAGAAATTAATATATTGAAAAAATATATTTGAATCCTTGATTACTTTAATTGCACCATTAAAACATTTGACTTAAATTATTTGATCATTCCAGTTGGTGTACTGTTCTAATTTCTCAGTGTGTAGGCCGATTTGCCTGTCAGTCCGCATGTCTTGTTCACTGGTCTATAATTCTTGTGCAATAACTAAAGGCAGAGGACTAGATGCACTACTGTGTAAAGAGATTACACATGACTACCCTATTGCACTTAAATAGTATGTGGGGATTTACAATCGCTTGCGTTGTTTCACAAAATAAATTATCTCAATGTCAAACACTAGATAAGCATCCAAGTTATTTCTACTCAATCCATTCTGGATAATAGAGAGAGAATAAACAGCGTGTACAAGTCACCTGGGCACTCAGCTGCCCAAGTAGCTTCCATTTCCTGGGTGACCACCAGATGGGCTAATATTGCAAGGTGGTCCTCACCACACCCTGACGTCGTGGATTTTAAGAACCCAAGAGACAGTCTGGTTTCTGCGCTCATTTTAACACCCTCAATAGCCTAGTTAATCCTGTTAACTTAAAGCGCCCTGCACTTACGATATGCCCAAGTAGTTTAAACACTACCCTCAGTACATCCTTGCCCTTCAACAGTGCTGTCTTGTGCCCAGAACTGATAGACCTTTCACCTAAACCCGGGTGAGAGATGGCTCATCACCATCCATCTGGATTGGGAAGGAGTGTGCATTGCATTTACTTTGGTGCCTGATGTGCCCAGTAATGCATGAAATATATCTTTACAACGACCTTGTTTAGGCTAACTGGGCTAATTTGCCCAAAGCCTTTATCCCATGCTCAGCACAGTATACAAATACACAGTTGGCCCTAAATGATAGTTTTCCTAAGTGTGTTGCTGCTACACCTTAGCCAGGCTAGTTTCCAAATTCATGCCGCAACGAGACTGAAACCAGTTCCTGTGAAGTATACCGGGGCTCTCATACTGCTTATTTAGCAACCCCCCCTTTCAGAGGCCATCCACGCCACGGTTAATCAGGTCTCCAGGATCACCGTCAGGAACGTGCGGGGCACGGAGTAGCAAATTCTACAGGATCCCCAACGTCTCTCCAGGGCGCTTCAACCTCGGCTACGAGACTGAGGCTGGAGTCGTCGCAACCCCCCGCGGAAAACCTCCCAGCTCCCTGCAGCCGAGTGCCGCTCTGTAGCTCGCGGTTAAAAGGGCCGCCGGCGGGGAAACCAGGCGGCCCCAGTTATGCGCAAGCGCAGTACTCTGGCGCTGCAGCCTGACCCCCGGCGCCACGCGCAGGCGCAGCGGGGGCTCAAAGGCAGCGCGTCTCGACAAGAACACCCAACGCCGGCGCTGACATCAAATTATTTTATTGAGCTGTGGGGAGAGGTCGAAGGGGAGGACAGGGAGATCCGACGCCTCGGCCCGGCCAGAACCTGCAAGAACGAGAGGGGCAAGTTAGTGGGGCTGCGTCCGCAAGCCCGGTCCCCGCCCGCCGCAACCCCGGAGGCCCGGCTCAGATTGTTGTTCGCATCACCCGCATCAGCAGTCTAACACGTGCTTTTTTTGGAAATGTCATCACTGCAGGACCCCCAGCGACCCACCCGGCTCCCGCGCCGACCTGCTAGAGCCCATCACAAACAAACCTCAACTTTCCAGCGTCACAGTCCCCGAAAGAACGAAGCGCTCCTTCTGGCTTCTACTTAAAGGAGCTGACAGTAGGCGGTTGGGCGGGCCTTGCCGGCAGTAACCAATAGCAAGTGAAACGTCTGCTCACGTGCCGTAACGTAGCCTAAGGAGCGGCTGTGCTCGTTGAGTCCTCCAGAGTGTAGAGTGGTCACATGCCAACCATAGAGTTGGGAGTCAAAGAAAGACTGCCAGTCTGCATTTCTTTCTCTGTGTTGATTGCAGGCTTGTAATTAGCCGGTTTCTCTGCAGTGTACAGGAAAGTTTACAAATAGGACCCAACTGAGTCACTTGTTCGTGATGTTCTGTGCCAGGAGGTAAGCTAGGAGCTGAGCATATAAAGGTGATAATCTAACCTTGTCCTTTTTTTTTTTTTTAAAGTAACCTGTTCAGTTAAGAAGAGTCTGTCTTTGGGGCTGCCTGGGTGGCTCAGTGGATTAAGCCTCTGCCTTCAGTTCAGGTCATGATCTCAGGGTCCTGGGATTGAGTCCCGCATCGGGCTCTCTGCTGGGCGGGGAGCCTGCTTCCTTCTCTTTCTCTATCTGCCTGCCCCTCTGCCTACTTCTGGTCTCTGTCAAATAAATAAAAATCTTAAAAAAAAAAAAAAAAGAAGAGTCTGTCTTTGAATGTAGAGGATGTGCAACCAGATCCTGACTTTGTGACGAATTTGTTGTATGAACCTCAATTGGAGGAGATTGGGAATATCCAAAAAAGTTGTTGTGAACATTAAATGAAATGTCAGTTGCCCAGCACATTCTGAGTGGTAAACAAATAATTGTTTTTAAAGGACTGCTGTGATGTGGAAAGCTTATGTGAGGGCAGTGCTTTAATAAATGCTGAAACAGAGCTATGAGCAATCTGCTGTGGAAGCCCCAAGGACAGAATGCCCAACTTTGGGCAAGTTAAAAGTACTTCTAAGTACTGAACTCTTACTGTAACCCAGGCACCCTCTTCATTACAGGTGACCCTCGAACAAGGAAGGGGGTGAGGGAGGCGTTGGGGCACCCACCACCCAGCGGTGGAAAATTCCCGACTCTATTATGACCCCCGCCACCACCAAGGGGTGGTGCCTGGGTAGCTCAGCAGGTTAAGCTTCTGATTCTTGATTTCACCTCAGGTCATGATCTCTGGGTTGTGAGATACACCTCAGGTGGGGCTCTGGCAGGTGTGGATCCTGCTTGAGATTCTCTTCTCCCTCTGCACCTCGCCCTGCTCCTGCACACTCTCTCCCTCTCCCTATTTCTTTCTCTCTTAAAAAAAAAAAAAAATTCAGGGGCGCCTGGGTGGCTCAGTTGGTTAAGCGACTGCCTTCAGCTCAGGTCATGATCCCAGAATCCTGGGATCGAGCCCCACGTCGGGCTCTCTGCTCAGCGGAGAGCCTGTTTCTCCCTCTCCCTCTGCCTGGCTCTCTGCCTACTTGTGTTCTGTTTGTCAAATAAATAAATAAAATCTTTTTAAAAAATTCATAAAGAGGAAATACATTTACAGTGCTGTATGGTATCTGTTTAAAAAAAAAAAAAAAAAAGCAGACCCACGCAGTTCAAACCCATGTTGTTCAAGGGTGAACTGTAATGGAGAAAAATAAGGCACTGTCCCATGAGAGCGTAATTTACCTGGAGGGAGAACAGCAACCAGTCACAATTTCTGGTTTTCTTTATTTCCTCAATGTTCTCTTGGGGAAATCTTTTCCTTTTCCCCTCCTAATTAAAAACAAGAAAACCATTTCAACCTGAGCTTATAGTTACATTGTACTTATTTTCATTATTTTCTACACAGTCTTTAGTTAAATTTAATTTAAATTAGCTACAGTTTGCATTATCGCAAAGGAAGCCAATCCGAATATTCTTGTGGGTGTGCCAACAAGTTCCTTTGGGGTATGTAGATGGAGGCACAATTGCTGGGCGGTAGGGTAGGCACATTTCCAATTTTCTAGATAATAGGGAATAACTTTCAAAGTGGATGCTCTCCTTTGCACTCCCGAATTGACCCTCACCAATTCTTAATATTGTCAGACTTTTCATATGTGAGTATACAATGGTATCTCAGTGCAGTTAAATTTTTAAAGCGTTTAGTAATTTTTATACGATCATTGAGCAATCAGCTGACAATCGGGTTTTCTCTTCTGCAGTTGCTCTTTTAAAATTAAACTATAAAAAATTCAACTTTATATACAGTACAAGGTACCCATATTAAGTGTCCATTTCCCTGGGTTTTGTTTGTTTGTTTTTACACATAGATACATTTGGGGGCGCCTGGGTGGCTCAGTTGGTTAAGTGTCCGCCTTCGGCTCCGTTATGATCTCAGGGTCCTGGGATTGAGCCCCACGGCTGGCTCCCTGCTCAGCGTGGGGCCTGCTTCTACTTCTCCCTCTGCCTGCTGTTTCCCTGTTTGTCAAGTAAATAAATAAAATATACTTTTTAAAAATGTCTTTAAAAAAACACCAAAAACCAAAATCCAAATAGGTACATTTGTGTGACCTCCCCCATACTCAAGACACAGAAAATTCTCACTGATCCAAAATGCTTCTCTCTTGCCTCTTTGTAATCAGTGCCCCCCCGTCCCCGCCTTCGCCTTCAATCACCAACTCAGGCAGCCACTGACCCATGTTCTGTTATTACAGAATGGTTTTGTCTGTTTTAGATTTTCTTATAAATGGATTCACGCAGTTTGTACTCTTTTGTGTCTGGCTCCTGTCCCTTAAACGAATGTTTTTGAGATTCGTCCATATTATTGTATCAGTGATCGATGCTGTTTTGTTGCTGAGTAGGATTTCATTATTATATGAATATGCCGCAGTTTGTTTTTCCATCCGCATGTTTACAGAATTTGGGTCGTTTCCAGTCTGGGGCTATGATGAATAAAGCTGTTATGAACATTAGTGTAGAAGTCTTTTTATGGACATTTGTTTGCATTCCTTCTAGGAATGGAATTTCTAGATCATGTGATAAGCATATATCTTTAACCTTATAAGAAACAGCCTATTTTCCAAAGTGATTACACCATTTTACACTTCCACCAGCAATGTATGAGAGGTCTGGTTATTTCAAATCCTGGTCAGCACTTGGCATTGTCACTCATTCTAATGGGGCTCATTGCGGTTTTAATTTACATTTTTCTGATGTCCAAAGATGTTGACCCTCTTTTCATATGACCATGACTATATCTATTTTTGTAACGTGTTCGGATCTTTTGCCCACTTTTAAAATTGTTTTCTTGGTAACAAGTTATATGAGTTCTTTAGATCCTTTTTCACATCTAAGTATTGGGAATATTTGCCTTTTTATTTTCCTAATAATGTCTTTCAAAGAGGAGGCATTTTTAATTTTGATGAAATCCAATTTATCACTGATGGGTTCTAAACAAGAGAGTGACCATGTGGTGGAGTTCAAGCTCCCTGTAACATTCCACAGCCCAGATTTATAACCCCCCTCCCTCCGAGAATAACATGAGCTACTAATACAGGAGTGCCTACCACAGGCAAGGCACTTGACATATTTTAGTTCTAATTCTTGGGATAGTCCTGAAAGGTAGGAAATGCTATTTCTGTTTTTTAGCTCTAAGTTCCAGAACAATTAGAACCAGGACTCAGAGAGATTAAGTAATTCGATTACATTTGCAGAAGTAACAGATGGCCAAGCACAGCTGGGATCTGAATTCATAACAATTTGATTTTAAAGCTTATGCTCTTTGATCACTATTCCATGCAACCTCCTAAGGAACACCCATTTAGTCAAAACGATTCCTCGTTATCTGAGAAGGTGGAGCTCATCCAACATACATACCTACACACCTCACTTTTGAGGAAGGCTTACTAACTTCCCACCCCAGGAACTACTCAGTGAACCAAGGGACCAGGAGCAGAAGGGATGGTGGGGAGTCCCAACTCAGAACGGTAGATGGACCCAGAAGTTATACAGAAGATCTAAGACCTGAGTCCCTGGGAGGAGAGTCAAGAAGGGCACTGAGTCTGGAGGGGCCTGATGTGAGTGTGGAACAGGGCTCCTGGGAAGCGAGAGGGACACCAGCATGTGGGGATAAAAGATGGAGATGGGGCACCTGGGTGGCTCAGGGGGTTAAAGCCTCTGCCTTTGGCTCAGGTCATGATCCCAGGATGCTGGGATCAAGCCCCACATCAGGCTCCCTGCTCGGTGTGGAGCCTGCCTCTCTGCCTACATGTGATCTCTGTCCAATAAATAAAATCTTTAAAAAAATGAAAGAAAGGAAGATGGAGAAGACAGAGAACACTGTCTAGAACAATCATCCAGCCAGGTTGTGACTTGCTCCTATGGCTACCATGGGTGTATGTGTGGAGGCAGGTAATGTGTGGAAGCCAAAAGGGACCCAAATCATCCCATTGTGACTTCCCTCAATTTTCCTCTTCTCTACCTCAACCTAACACAACCCTTGAGACCCTTCTCTCTGGTCTCAGAAGATGTGGCCTCTCATTCACTTTCTCTTTCAGGAAACACTTTAAAAGTCCTTCCATGCTTCATCCTGTTCTGGGCACAAGAAATACAAACGTGAAGCAGAGTCTCTATCTTCAAGCAGCCCACAGTGTAGATGAGGGTAAAAAGAAAACCCTTACATTTTATGTACTTCATGTCCCTTTTTCAATCTCTTTCGACCAGAGTCATCTTCAGAGTGCTGGTGTAGGTGGGGAAGAGAAAAGGAGAAAGAAAACTCTGCTTCACTAAAGATCAGCTGTGGGCCACGTGTGGTCAAACCCATTGTTGAATTAGTCCTTCTAGAAATGCTAAGCCAGCATTTTAATCAGGGTTTATTGGTTTTGAATGATGAACCCAACTCGAGCTAGCTGAGGTAAATGGGGGAAGGTCTTCTGGTTCCATAGAAGACGCATGACGGGCTGGGCAGGCCAATCTCAAGCCAAATCAAATCAGAACTTACGCTTGTCCTGGGCACCTTGACTCCATCTGTGCATTTTTTGTCAACTTCTTTCTTTTCTGTTGGCTTTCTACTGGATGGAGGCAGTTCCTGGGCCTC